TTCTATACTCATTACATTATAACAACAATGGTTTATTGTTTGTTTGCTTTTATTTTTGATCACTTTATTGGGAGCTCTTACACCTTTTATAACTATCCATACATCAATTGTATCAGGCATATTTGTACATACGTGGCCATCATTCTTTTCTAGACAATTACTTTCTATAGTGCCCTTGGTATCAGCTCCTTTCCTCCCCCCATGACCCCTTGAAGATTATTATTATTATTTTTTAAATCATTTTATTGGGGCTCATACAATTCATCACAATACATAGATCAATTGTGTAAAGCACTCTTATACATTTGTGGCCCTCATCATTCCCAAAATTCGCTTTCCTCTTGGGTTCCTGGAATTAGCTCATTTTCCTTTTTCCCCCTCCTCCTCCCTCCCTGGTGTGCTGCTTTTCCATGTGGGCTTAGTTGCTTCTGGGTTAGATGGCCATTTGTTTCCTTTCAAGACAAAGGGCATACATAAAAGCCTAAATACAGACATGTACATACGTAAATATATTTAAGATTATGGGGGAAATGGACCTAGGTGCAAATATTTATAGGTTTAGTAGTAGGGTGGCAGGTGGACATTGGGCCTCCTCATGCACATTCCCTTAATACAAGAGCACCTTGCTCAGCTAAAGGGTCATTTCATGATACCTACCTTCCCGACATGATCACTGAAGACAGACGTGTGCATAAGCAAATGTGGTGAAGAAAACGGATGGTGCCTGGCTATCAAAAGATATAGCATCTGGGGTCTTAAAGGCTTGTAGGCAAACAAGCAGCCATCTAGCTCGGAAACAACAAAGCCCACAGAGAGGAAGCACACAAGCCTGTGTGAACACGAGGTGTTGAAGGGATCAGGTAGCAGACACCAAAGAACAAAAACCATCATTGTGTGACCACCTTCCCCACTTAAACGCTGAAGACGAATGTGTGCATAAGTAAGTGTGGTGAAAAAGGCTTATGGTGCCCGGCTATCGAGACCTATAGCGTCTGGGGACTTAAAAACCCTTGAAGATGATAAATTATTATTATTTTCATATCTTACACTAATCACTGTTTCCCTTTGCCCATGGTTTCTGTTCTTCCCCTGGGGGTGTGGGGTGTGGTTGTGTGTTGATCATTATGCTCCATTCCCCCTTCCTGCCCTTCTCCCCCCCCCTTCTCCCGACCCTCTGGTATTGCTATTCCCATTCCTGCTTCTGGGTTGTGTGCATCGTGAGCTCTTATCTATCCCTGTGTCCATCCTTTTGTGTCTTAAAATGACATATTCAATGGGAATAGCATGACAGCCATCATCAAAAATAATATTTCAAGATCTATCCTAAAGTAAAATGCTGTCTTTTATGGGATCATATCTTTATGCCTATAAGGAAATTCAGTTAATACTATTATTCAAATTTTGCACCAACCAATAAAGCCAGGGATGAAGAAACTGAAGAACTGTATGAATGTCTTCACTCTGAAATTGATCAAATGTCCAATCGAGATGCATTGATAATTGTTGGCAACTGGAATGAGAAAATTGGAAACAAAGACAAAGAAACAGTAATTAGAAATATGGCCTTGGTGATAGAAATTAAGCTGGCGGTTTCATGATAGACTTTTTCAGGATTATTGACTTTTTAAAGAACATAAATTACAACTGTACAAATGGGCCTTGCCAGATAGATTACACAGGAATAAAATTGATACATCTGTGGGAGGAGACAATGGGGAAACTCAACATCAGCAGCCAATCTGTTGCCCTTTCCAAAGAAAATTGACCTAACAGAATGTGGGAATTAGCAAACAATGTATTAATTTAAAACACAAAGAAGAATTTGCTGAAGACCGTTCCGCAATGTTTGCAGCAGTACATTGACATGGAGCTGCCAGAACTCAACCGGGATTTAGAAGAAAGCATGGTACAAAGGATAACAATGCTGACACCAGGTGGATCTTGGCTGAAAGCAGAGAATACCAGAAATATGCTTACTTGTGTTTTACTGACTATATGAAGTCATGCCACTGTGTAGATCCACTCGAGAAGGCTTAGTTGTTCTCTAGTGGAACCTGTATATGGACTAACAGGAATTTGTTTGAACAGAACAAAGGCACACTGCATGGTTTAAAATCAGAAATGTGTCTGTCAAGGTTGCAGTCTTCCACCACATTTGTTTATTCTGTGTGCTGAGCAAATAATCTGAGAAGCTAGACTATGTGAAGAAGAATTTGGCATCAGGATTGGAGGAAGGTTTATTAACAATTATGATATACAGATGAAGATCAAGGATTGCAGCCTTCAGTATGGATTACAACTCGATGTAAAGAAAACCAAAATCCTCCCAGCAGTACCAGTAGGTAGCACGATGATAGAGAAAAGGTTGAGTTGTCAAAGATTTCATATTGCTTGGATTCACGATCAATGCTCAAAGCAGCTAGCTGTAAAGAGACCAAGCGGTGCTCTTCGTTGGGTAAATCTGCTGCACCACCTATTTAAAGTGTTGAAGAGCACGGACGGTGTTACTTTAAGGACTAAGGTGCACCTGACCCAAGGCTTGGCATTTTCTAAAGCCTCCTATGCAGGTGAAAGTTGGACATGGGATAAGGAAGACCAAAGAAGAATTGATTCATTTGAACTACGGTGCTGGTGAAGAATATTGAAAGTACCATGGACTGCCAAAAGAACCACCCCTCTGTCTTGGAAGAAGCACAGCCAGAAAGCCCCTTAGAAACAAGGGTAGGGAGACTTCTTCTCGCATCGTGGAGATCATGGTTGGTACAGTCAAGAACTGAGAAGAGGTAGACAGATCCTTAATGGAATGGGATGACACTGTGGCCACAACAGAAGCCTTTAAACATAACCACAGTGCGCATGACCCAGCACTGGGCGCTGTTTCTTCCTGGTTTACATGGGGATGCTGTGAGTCAGAAGCAGCTGGCTGGCATCGAACAACAGCAGACAAGAGTGGGGGAGCCCCGGTGACACTGCGGGATAAGCACCATCTGTTAATCACAAGGCAGGCAGCACAAGCACATCAGCAGCTTTGCGGGAGAGACAGATTGTCTCCTCCTGTGAGGATTTACAGCCGCTGACACCTTACAGATGCGCTCTGGGCGTTCGAGTGGACTTGATGGCAATGGGGTTTTCGGTTTAGTCAAAACTGAAGCTGGATTTTAGGAACTTCATGGAAAAGGAAACTCAAATTCTACATGCTTCTTATCCAGTTTGCTCTCTGACCCTGTGCTACGAGTCTTTAGTATAAGTGCTGCTGACGCAAGTACCATTTCATGCTTCTTAATGCCATTTGAATTTATATGCTTTTGGGTACAGAGAACAGGAAAATTGAGCTCAATTTCCAGTGTTTTCTTTTTCCCAATTTTTGTGAATTAGTTGGGGGGGGGTGTTTTACATATCACATGATGGTTTCAACAATATGAAAAACGTATTTATTATTCTTTTTATTACACCCTCATTACTTTAAAAGTTTTATTAGCACTTCATTCATGTCTTACAATTCAATAATGTCACAAAGAGTTGTACAATTGTCACTATTCAATTCTAGAACATTTTCTCCTTCCTTGTAAATTATATATTTTTTTCTAATTGTGGGAAAAATATACACACCCAAACTTCTCCAATTCAACAACTTCTACTTGTATCATTCCCTGCCATTGATTACACTCTTCATGCTATACAGCCACTATTGGTGCCCTTTTCCAAATTATTCTGCCACCACTGGCAAACACTCAATGTTCCCTCCCCGTCACCTTTGGTAGCCCGTGGGCCAGTTTGGTTTCTTTTCTTCTTCAGTAGTTTTCTTGATATAGTGTCATACACTTTCATGGTTAAATCACTTTTAAAATGAATTGTACATACATCATCACATTCAGTTCTAGTGCCCCCTCCCACATTCAGTTTGTTCCCCAAAGCCCCTCACTCTCCCCACCCCACTCCACATCCCCGATAAACCATTTCATCAGTTATTATCTCCATGCATCTACTCCTTTTGTGCTTCATAAACTGGGAAACCCAACAGAAACAATACAAACAAAATAAAATGGCAAGAAAACAATATAAAGATAAAAAATACAAATATAGAGTAAGAAAGAAAAGACCACCATCAATATGTAAAAATCCAGGGAAGAATGAAAAAAATCATTTTATTGGGGCTCATAAAACTCTTATCACAATCCATACACACATCAATTGTATAAAGCACATTTGTACATTTGTTACCCTCATCATTCTCAAAACATTTACTCTCCATGTAAGCCCCTGGCATCAGCTCCTCATTTTTCCCCTTCCCTCCCTGCTCCCTCCTCCCTCATGGACCCTTGATAATTTATAAATTATTATTTTGTCATATCTTTCCCTGTCCGACATCTCCCTTCACCTACTTTTCTGTTGTCCATCCCCCAGGGAGGAGGTTATATGTAGATCCCTGTAATCGGTTCCCACTCTCTACCCCACCTTCCCTCTACCCTCCCGGTATCGGTATCGCCACTCTCACAGGGAAGAAATTTTTGTTGTGGAACAAGTAAGAAATACTTCAGCCTAGAACCAATTCAGGTTGGGTCAAGAGGGAAGTCCACTGACAAAGTATCAAATTATACCATGTTCGATCCACCATAATCAAGTTTAAGATCATCTCTGTCAGTAAAGCTATTTGAGTACCCTTTCCTGTGGCTAGAGGGGATCTGCCAGAAGCTTAATTTGACTAGCTACTCTCGTCAGATGGATTTTGGGATCCCACTTCCTCCATTGCCTTCTACAAATTGGGGGTTCACAGCTTAAGCTCTACCTTTAAAAAATGTTGTTGTCATCTTTGGATCACACAGGCTGGTGTGCTTCTTCCATGTGGGCTTAGTTGATTCCTCACTTAGATGGCTGCTTGTTTAATTACAAGACTTCAGGATCCCAGCCACTATTCCAATCAAAAGCTGGGCACCATCTGCTTTCTTCACTACATTTTGCTGTAGTACCCTTATCTTCAGTAATCATTTCATGAAGGTGAGTACCCAGCAGGGTCATGTTATCAGAATTAACTGTTCTTGGGTTGGGGCTAGAGTTAAGTGGAAGCCCAGAGTCCATGTGCTTGTCTTTTTTTACCCCTCACCTCTGTATGCTGTAGTAAGTCTGTGTAAGAGTAATAATATTCACTGAAATGTATTGTGTGCCACTAAATGCAAATGGTTATGAACAGTTCTGGTTTACTTTGGCAGTCATATTATAACAAAAACCAAAACCCACAAGCTAAACAGCAACAACAAAAACCAAATAAATAAGCAAAATGCAGAAAAATAAAGAAACAAAAAAAGAAAAACATTGTCAATCATCCCCGTGGGGGTATTAAATAACATCAAACTTCCCAAGGACTTGTCCTATCCCCACCTTTAGCCCTTTCCACCAGCACTCTCTTGTAGTATATTATCTTTCCCTTGGCCCAAGTGACCACCTGTCTAGCCTATTGTTTTTCCTTTGTTCTCTCCCCTTCTACCTCTGTCGACCACCGAAGTATGTTTCTTTTGGTATGAAACCCTTTTCTTTTTCATAACAGTAGTCTCATATAATTTTTGCCCTAACTTCACTCAGTGTAATGTCTTTCGGATGCATCTGTCATGAGGTGTTCCACAATTTCATCATTATTCTTTAATGGTGTGTAGTATTTCATTGTGACCATGTACCAAGCTTATGGATCCATTCTCCCACTAATGGGCCTTTACAGTGTTTGCATCTTCTTGATATTGTGAATCAACTTGCAATTTCCAGTGAAGCTTAGTCTGAGTTTTAAATAAATCAATTGATGCCTGGGAGAACAGTCAGAGGAAAGGAGCAAGTGTTCACCTTAGACCAATCATGACTAAAGAGACATAAGAACACAGATCTCAAATGGTTACTTCCAGATTTAACTTTCTGTGAGACCATAAAGAACCTGCTGGATGGCATCACATGCTTCATGTTAAGTTTAAGAAGCCTGAAACTGACCTCATCTCTTTTCACCCAAACAATACACAAGTACTGGCCTCTCCCCGAAATTTCTACTTGTAAATGAATGGTGCCATCATTCTGCCAGCACCCTTAGCTAAAACCTTGAATTATCCTCTCTTCTCTTTTTTTACCCCTCACCTCTGTCTGCTGTAATAAATCTGTGTAAGAGTAATAATATTTACTGAAATGTATTGTGTGCCACTAAATGGAATATACATCATCTCACTTAATTCTAAAAGCAAAATTTAAAAATTCTAAAAAAAACTTGGTTGTAAGGCCACTTGACTTTATTACTTGATCACCAAGTAATAAATTTAGGAAGAAGATTGAAGGATATTTGACTTCAGAACACACTTTTTTGATGATCAGACCATACTATCTCTTTGTGTTTTAAATACTTTGTTATTAAACATCCCTAATATCTCATCTCCTACAAATCCACTTCAATCTTTTTGTACACCCACTCAGACAGCCCTGGCACTGCCGTTCCTCAGCAGCTGTTCAGAATCCTGAATTTCCTCTAGGAATTTGGCATCATGTGTGAGAAATCTGAACTTCAGTGGTTCCAGTATTATGATCCTGGACAGTGGTATGTGAAAATCCCCAGTAGTTGTGCAATGCATGTTTGTTTTTAATCAGTTGGAGGTATTAGCTAGTTCTATCTTCTTTTCATTCTTCTCTCTATTCCACATTTTCACGACTGCCCAGACATCTACAAAAGATCCCCAACATAAAGGCGGTTAGCTGAATTTAACTGTTTAGTCTTGCCCTGTGCTATGGTCACAATCTTGTCCTTGATTGCATGGCCCTTACCTTACAGCTTCTATCCATGATTCCTAGAGGAAAACAGTTCAACATTATGGGGCCTCAATTTTCTAGAATAATACTCTCCTGGAAATTTAACACAGGCAAACCTTCACAGATCCATGATTAGAGCAAAATTTGCCTTGAAACATGACTGTGCTGATTTTCCGTCACATATAACCCTTTGCTCATCTGAATTGAGTTTCAATTGATTATGGTTAGTAACTATGGTAGAAATGGTCCCCACTGTTGCCTGCCTTCTGGTACTCATGCACTTGAACGCAGTCTGAACCTAGGTAACTTGCTTTTAACTAAACAGAATAACCAATAAAGGTGATGGGTTGTCTCTTCTCTGATTAGATAACTAAACATTGTGGTTTCTATCTTACTGGTATACTGCATTGCCTTCTTGGCTTTTACACGTAGACGAAGCAAGCTGCTGTGTCTGAGAGGTCCATGTGGCACGGAGCTCCAGCCAACCCTAGCCATAGAGCGAATCATCTCAACAATCGGGTGAGCTTGGAAGCACATTGCTCTCCAATGGGGTCTTGAGATGTCTTTGAAGTAGAGGACAAAGCTATGTTGTGTCCAGATTCCAGATCTGCAGAACCTATGAAATAATAAATGAGTATTGTTTTAAGCTGTCAAATTTTGTGGTGATTGGTTATGCAGCAAGAAGTAACTAAATACACTTTAAAATTTAGTACAGTAGTAAAGTGGAAAAAAAAGAAACAGTTTTTTTAATCATTATGCTACAAATACGCACCTAATATATTTGGCTTTTTGAGGAACGTGATGATAGCGGTTTAGATTATATGTATCAGTCAGCCAGTAACCTCCTTTTGCTCATCCTTGGAAAGGTTCCAGTACATGGCTCCCTTTGCTGGACCAGGAACAGAGATGAAGGCAGACCTGAAGCTAATTCCCCCTGAACACTCCAGTCTCTAGGAAGTGGGAGCCAATGTACTGCTCACACAATTACGGAAGTTCTCAGGGTGAAAAGCAATCTCCGGATCATTGACTCATGTAAACCTTTCCATGTGGCTTCTTGCCAAGGTGACTCAGCATTCCTTTGCCTCAATATTGCACATTACGAAGTTTCAAAATTTAGCATTGTACCATACTAGTTCACATGACAAATGAGGAATGAATGTACTCCAAAATTAATCCCAACGGAAAGGCAAATTTGACTGCCAGGCAATCTATGAGTGATCAGTTACAGTGAAAGAAATTTAAGTAATTAGTCTTTTCTGATCATTGCTTAACACCTTTGGTTTTAGTGACCATTTTCTCAGTGACAGTGAAGTGTCGATGTGGCATTCACAGTATGATACTAATATGACATCCTCAGTTGTAATATACCCCTATTTTCACAACTAACAGGGAGGTAAAAGTTTTTTATACTGTGCTGTTCATCAAAGGTTTATGTTCTATGTACAGCAATAGAATAATCACAATTCTGTTCATGGGGACAATGAACAGAAGTGTCATTGCTTCTTTTCTCTCCAGTCATCCCACCTTAAACTCTCTCTCTGTGGTGTACACACCCATAACCAGTCAAGTAAAATGTTTGCCAGTTAGATGATCCTTCCTAGGAAAGGAAAAGGAGATAATGGACAAGTCTGAAATGACTTATAAAAAGTACCTTCCTTCTCCCAAATGAATGATCAACTTGAAGTTTCCTTTTAAAATTGGATAATATTTGTGTCCGTGCAGTATGAGGAAATAATTCTTTGTTATAAAATTGCCATTCCTGAAATAGATCTATGTGCATATATTTATAGGTTTAGTATAAAGGTAGCAGATGGACATTGGGCCTCTACTCAAGTACTCCCTCAATACAAGAACACTTTGTTCTATTAGCCTGGCATTCCATGATGCTCACCTTCTTGACCTGATCGCTGTAGACCAAGCAGATGCATAAGAAAACGTGGTGAAGAAAGCTGATGGTGTCTGGCTATCAAAACACATAGCATGCGGGGTCTTAAAGGCTTGAAGATAAACAAGCAGCCATCTAGCGAGAAGTTTCAAAGCCCACATGGAAGAAGCACACCAGCCTGTGTGATCATGAGGTGTCAAAGGAATGAGGTATCAGGCATCAAAGAACAAAAAAATCATATCATTGTGAATGAGGGGGAGTGCAGAGTGGGGACCCAAAGCCCATCTGTAGGCAACTGGACATCCCCTTACAGAAGGGTTGCAGGATGGAGATGAGCCAGTCAGGGTACAGTGTAGCATTGATGAAATATACAATTTTCCTCTAGTTCTTTAATGCTCCCCCCCTACTATCATGATCCCAGTTCTACCCTACAAATCTGGCTAGACAAGAACATTTACACTGGTATCGATCAGAGCTGTAAACACAGGGAATACAGGACACATAACCCCTTCAGGACCAATAATGACAGTAGCAATACCAGGAGAGTAAGGGAAAGATTTGGGGAGGAAGGGGGAACCAATCATAATGATCTACATATAACCCCCTCCCTGGGGGATGGACAAGAGAAAAGTGGGTCAAGGGAGACATCGGTCAGTGTAAGACATGAAAAAATAATAGCAATTTATAAATTATCAAGGGTTCATGAGGGAGGGTGGGTGGAGAAGGGAGGGGGGAAAAACAAAGAGCTGATACCAAGGGCTCAAGTAGGAAGCAAATGTTTTGAGAAGGATGATGACAACAAATGTGCAAATGTGCTCGACACATTTTATAACGAAGAATTATAAAATTGGATGTATGTATGGATTGTGATAAGAGTTATACTAGCCCCCAATAAAATGATTTTTTATTAAAATTGCCACTCCTACTCTCAGGCCAACTCCATAACACTCCACATAAAATATGTTCCTTGTGATAAATTGCAAAGGGTTCCCATGGGATGGCCAATTGGTTAGGGAGGATGAAGCTGTGACATATGGTACTTGGCCACCATCCATTCCAGCTCCTGCGCCACCTGTTTTCTCTGGGATTCCGTCTCTGTTCTAAATCTTTCATTCAAGGCACATGAGAAAGAAACTCTGAGGAGAGGCTATCCTAATTTGCTGCACTTTTTGTTTGAAAAAAAACACCCACATCAACAGCTGCTAGTGTCAAGTCAGTGTTCTGAAAGGCCTGGTTGGTTTATGTCCCTCCCTTTTGCTCAGACTAACACATCAGTAGCAATGAATACTGAAAATATAAGAATGACCCACACGTTCACCATCCAAGCGCAGTGTGAAGGGGAAACCCCCTCAGAGTTGCATTCACCCCCTTGCTGTTCCTCCCGGGAGCCATGCACTGGAAACACACCAAGGGTGAGCAAAAGGAACCCAGTGTGACTCCCACGAAACAAACAATTTTGCCAAAACTGGTTGCTGGGAGATAATCACAAGTAAGATTTCTGGATTTAAAATGTTAAGCCACACAGAGTGTTTTAATCAGCTTACGTTTGCTCTTTAATTCAGTCATATTTACAAGAATGATCAGGCAAGTAGAAATCCGATCCTTTCTCCCAAGGAGCGCCTGGTGGTTTCAAACTGCTGACTTGCCATGCATAATCACTATACCACCAGGGCAGTGGTCAAATTAAATTCGGTTTGGGAGTTTACCAAGAATATTTTGGTATGGAAAGAAACCTCCATAGGAAGAATCTATTGTGCACTAAAATAATCACTGCTTTGTGTAGTTATTGTAAAGAAATTTATAGCAAAGAATGGTAGGGGACATATATCTTCATTTCCACCGTAATAGCAATAATACAGTTATGTTCAAATGCATATAACATGAAAAGCCAAATGCAATCTTTTCTACTTTAAAGGTGGCAAAACACACAGGAAAGCACGAGAAGACTAAAGCTGGGCTTGTACTTAGAAGATTTAGTTTTGACTCAGGAATCTCTAGGTGGTTCCAATGGTTAAATATCTGACTAGACCATGAGGTGGCCCTTTCAATACCCCAGAGGTGCCTCGGAAGAAAGACCCAGCGATCTGCTTTCAAATGGCCGTAGCCTTGAAAACCCCCTGGGATGGTTCTGCGTGCTCACAAGTTGCCTTGAGTTAAACTCTACTGGACGGCAACCAACAGCAGTTCCAGCTCCCTCAGCTCCAGTTGCTAGTTAGGTGGCTTTAGGCAATGAACCCCTCTGGCCTCTACAGGCGCCATTCATCACACAGGTAAGAAAGACGCTTCTCACCTTGAAAAATCCTCTTCAGATTCAGAAAAGCATCTACAATCTGGAGCTACTTTATGGTTTTCAGATTTCTGAATGAAAAACATCTTTTTAAAGTGGTTAGTGTATTCTAGAGGCAATTACATTGTAATGCAATTGTACATGATATTTTGGTCATTCGTTTTGAGGAGCTGAAGGCTGGAGGCTGTGTAGTGGTAAGAAAATACGTTATAAGAGCTTACGGAGCGCTCCAAAATATTCCTTAAAAAAAAAAAAAAAAAGAAGTTTTAATGTGCTCGGCAAACTAAGAAAACCAGAACTTGCAGGGGTGTCGCTTGATATTAGGAAGGAGGTAGCAAAAACCCTAACGTTTCTCTGAGAAAAGTACCTTCAAAAACATCATAGCTTAGAGTAGATGATGTTTTGTTGTTCGTTTTTTTTGGGGGGGTTGTCGATGATGTTTTAAGTGCAACTCTATCTTAAAAGAGTTTAGCAGCTCAACTATTTATATTCAGTCCACATGGGTTGTATTCTTCTTCTATCTCAGTACATGCCACTTGGTCCTCCACTGCTCTCTAAAGATTAGTTAGGTATTCTAGTACCGTGGATCTCATGGTCTCTCTAATCTTAAAATCTAAATACGTTACTTCTGCTTTAAAGTTCAGGAAGTTCAATTTCAAACATGGAAGTTGATATTATCACACAAAGCCCATTTAAAAAGGCATTCTGGAACAAGAATTTTGGCCTTTGAGCCGCAAGTCTATTTTTGTCATTAAGCACTTCTTATGCTTATTCTGCCTCACATGCTACAAACAGGCAGCAGGAAACATGTGATGATCATCCATTGTCTTTGCATCATGGCGGCATTTAAAACATATAAGTTAAACTGTCCCCTAGGGCACTAAGGGAATCTTGTGTGAGAACTACCAAATAATCTTAAATACTTACTCTAATAATAGAGATGACCCTTTCCAAAGACTTTACTTCTATGGGTCTCACTCAGTCCCTTGGGAAGAAGCAACACTAATCACTGACTCAGAAAGCATGAAATATTTTAAGATGCATTAGAAAGCATATGGAATGCATGAAGACTGAGACATATTGATTGATCAATTTTTTTATGCTAGGAAAACATGCACTCTATTTATTTATTTTTTTTATTGCCCCCCAAATAATGCAACTTTAGAAAGGATTTCAATAAAAATCTCTGTAATGAGTAGAATTTTAAAGTGAATTATTTTCTTGAAAAGAACTTTTAAAAAAATGTTATATTTTAAGAGCTATGAGGCGTTCTTAGTACATTGGTCAGAACCACAAATATTAAAAATAATATAAACAAACAAACCAACAAACCCACATTGCCACCAAGACTGTTCTTACGAAATCCCCATGGGAGCAGATAGCCTCACCGTTCTCCTTGTGGCTGGTGAATTTAACTGCCGACACTTTAGTTAGCAGCCCGATGCCTAACCCACAGTGCCACTAGGGATCCTTAAACATAAAATAGGCTAATTAAAGGCGGTAGATATTTAGGTTAGATAAGTTAAGCCTCCCTTTTAGGATAAGTCTTAAAAGGCAGAGCTTCTTACATTTCAGGGAACTTCTACAGGCACCGGGAAGCAAGCAGACAGAACCACAGGCCTCAAATCCTTGAACCACATCGACCAGCATGAAAATAGACACAGAAGACCCGCGCCGTCCAGGAATCCACTTAAGTTCTCGTTTCTTTACTTACTGTAATACGTAAAATAGAAAGCATAATCTGTTGGTCTTACAGGACATCAATTTCATTCATCAAACATTAATTGCTAAATGTCCCAAACCAGGATGTAGTCCCTACTATGCTCTGACCTCTGCTCTCAGGAAACTGACAGTTCAGGGGGAGAATTTGACGTGTGAGCAATTTGAAGACAAAGCAGAAGGCTCTAAGCACTGTAACAGAGGGGTGAATAAATAATGCTATGGAAACCCTGAGAGGAAAATAGCTGACTTCAACTGGAAGGCTTGGGAGAGGCTTTCAACAAGAAAGACAGCATTTCAACTGGCCTCTGCAGAGGAGAACAAGCTCAAGAAGCACTGGTGCAGTGCGAGGAGCATCTAGGAAGCATCTGAGTCAAAAGCCCTGAGTTTTCCCCAAGTTAACTGAGACCCGTCAACAGGCTAGTCCACTGTTTGTCTTCGAGAAGAGAAATCAAGGAGCAAGGAAAGGGGAAGCAATTGGAGGGTCTGATTCCTAGTTTAAATGGTTGACTACAAAGTTCAAGATCTGAAATTAAACCCGCACTTAGTTTACAATAAAAATTCTTAAAAACAAATCATCATCATCATACTACATATTAAAAGCTGAGTTGTGGTTCCTCCTCTGCCCTTATGGGCTATTAGATGTGTGCAGGAGTCTCTTTCGGGAAGGGGCGATGGGTGTGTGGTCCTGCCTGAGTTGCTGTGTTAGCATAGGAGGTTGAGTCTGCTTGGTGATTCCACTGTGGACTTAACTCCTTTGGCCCATTTGAGTTTAGAAATGCTCCTGAGACTCTGGCCTGCGCATGCTCTGCTCCCTCTCGGGGGCCAGTCCTGCTTTCGGGTGGTGAACTCTGATCTTGCCAACTGCAAAGTTCTGCTAGAGCACGGCGGTGGCCTATCATCCACTTTTAGCTGCTTACATCGGGTAGATTCATTGTCTGGAAGGCTTTTTGGTGATTTCTTTTAAAATTGTAGGGCCCTTACTCTTTATTCCTTTTCAATGTAGACTGTTACTGCTATTTTAAGAAAGGTATCTAATTTTTCGTGAAGAACAGGAAACAGTACCATAATGGAGGTGGTTGCACAGAGTCCTGCCTCAAATATGGCAAATTAGCACACGGTATAAATATTTTCAGGGTTTTTTTCCCATTTAGATTTCTGTTTCCAACATAGCCTAATATCTTTAAACTTGGATCTAGCTCTGTAACTAGATTAAGGCTATCATATAAAATGGGTAAAAACATTGAGATTCAGTAGAAAAATTGGCAAAGAAAAACATACAGAATACTCATAAAAGATACTAGGGCTAGTAAATACATAGGGGGGGGGAATATAAACCTTCAGTGCATAATCATAACTATATAATATACCTTATTCTAGGAAAGATAAAAAGATACTACAAAACTCATAGGATTGTTGGTGGCAATATAAACTAGAATAACCGTTATGAAAATCTATTTGGCTATAAGATATTCTTATTCTTTGACTCCACATTAAGGAATTTACTCTAAGAAGATGATTTCAAGGAAGAAAAACTCTTTGTAAGTTTATTGGGTTCCTGCAGAAAACTTGTCAATGATATCCGTTTCCATTCTTGTTCTCTCCCTTCCTTTTCGTGATGTATTTCAACACAGCCATCAGAGTGATCCAAACCTCTGCTCAGGATGCTCCTGTGGCTCATTTTACCAGGGTGAAGGGCCAAGTCCTTACAGTGGCTTCTGAGGCTCCACAGGATCTGGCTCCCTGCTACCCCTCTGACCTCAGTCATGCTACTCTCCTTGTCCTCCTCACAGTACAGCCACAGGGCCCCTCGCTGTTCCAGCAACAAGCCAGCAAGTGAAAATTGTTGATAACAATAGAAACTAAACCAAACAAGTCATTGCCAACAAGTAGATTCTAACTCACAGTGACCCGCGAGGACAAAGTAGAGCTGCTCCCGTGAGTTTCACACACTGTAACTCTTCAAAGGAGTAGAAAGCCTTACCTTTCTCCACAGGCTGATGGTTGCTACATGCTGACCTTGAAGTTAGCAGCTCAACACGTAACCCACTCTGCCAGCAAGGCTCCTCCACAGAAAGAAAACTGTGAGAAAAAGACACGAATGGACACGGCAAGAGAAGAGAAACACAGTAGTGGGAGTATAAAAGTATAGATGTGTTTGGAGTAAGGAGCATGACATAGTTGGAGGATGGGACTTCTGAGGAAATTAGAAAGTTAGACTAAAATAGAGCCTGATCTTCATTATCAAGAGTATGGGAAACTATTACTACATGTCAATTTATGATAATATACTATTATATATGTGTATATCATTGAAATATATTTGTGAAAAAATATAACAATACCCATGTTGTAAGAAAATTGTTGTTTACAAATACAGTGGGGTTCCCCACCAAAAACACATTTGTTTTCAAAGCTATGCAATTAAAAATTTTTTACAAAACAATCTTATCACCTTAAAGTACTTTCCACTACACTTAATACATTTTTAATTTGTGATTAAATTCTTGGAAACATTTTTCAAAATCATCTGTTTGTATGGCTGACAGAGTCTCCCTGATTTTTTTCTTCACATCTTGTCTGTCATGTCCCTCTTCATTCGCAGAATCAAGAAGAAGTTGCATGGAGCGAGGTCAGGTGAGTCAGGTGCATGGGGCAAGAGAGTCATGCTGTTTTTTGCCAAAAACTGGTGCACTGAGATGGCTGCGTGACCAAGTGCACTGTCATAGTGGCAATACCAGTCCCCCGTCTGCCACAAATCAAGCCTTTTCTTGCTGCACACTGTTATGCTATCTTTTCAGAATCTCTAAATAGAAAGCTTGATTAATAGTCTGACCTGGTGGAACGACTCCAAATGTACTCCAAGTAGATATTTTCATCCATTCAGGATGTTGACAGACGTCCAGAATGGGTTTGTTATCAATCAACATTTCACTTATTTTTAACGAGAAAACCACTGGTACACTTGAGTTTTTCCCATAGTGCTGTCCTTGTAAGCTGTGTTCAACATGACGAGTTTTGGCGGCATTTTTCCCTAAGCAGGAAAGAAAATTTGATAGCCACCCACTGTTCTCTTAAATAGGCCATCATAAAAAACGAAGTTCGAGCAAAACTGCTTTTATGAAAAAATTCACTGTGACTAGAGAGAACCTTCCCAGGTGATGCCACTGAGTGCACTAACTCAGAGCGGGTGGCTCAATGCTTGCTGAGTGGAAACAAATGCGTACTATGAAAGCTGTGCTCCGCCCAGAACAATTCTGGCCTTTTTTGGGATATAACCCCTCATATGAAGGACAGAGTAGGTAGAGAAAAGCTAGAAGCAGGATAGGCACTTGGTTTTGTGAAAAGAACATGGAATTGAACTAGAGAAATGAGAATGAGGCCGAAGGCCTGGTTGAGTTGGAGAAGTGACAACAGAACGGGAATTGTTTTGAGAATTCAAACAGATAAGGTAACAAATAAAAGAAACATTAAATTATCTTTTTATATACAGACAGGTAAGGAGAAATTTAATATGATCTCAAGGTTTCAAGCTGGAGCCTGCTGCTGTTCTTAGGTGCCAAGTAATGTTTCTATATAATGTAAATTCAATTGCTCATGATGCAGAACATGGTAAAAGGAGCAGCCTTTAGTATGGATTACAACTCAAGTGAAAGAAAACCCAAATCCTCAAAACTGGACCAACAGGCAACATCCTGATAAACTAAGAACAGATTGAACGTATCAAAGACGTTTGTTTTGCTTTGATCCACAGTCAGTGCTTATGGAAGCAGCAGTCAAGGGATCAAATCATTGCACTTGGCAAATCTGCTTCACAAGACCTCTTAAAAGTGCTGAAAAGCAAAGATACTACATTGAGGACTAAGGTGCACCTGACCCAAGCCATGGTATTTTCAATTGCCTTATGAAAATGTGATAACTAGACACTGAATAAGGACTGTGTGGATCACAGCCCAATATGTAACTTACTAATAATTTTTAAATTAAAATATAACAATTAGGGGTAATAAAATCATTGGGTTCCTTTAGGTATAGAAATTAGAAGTCAAGCCTCAATGTTTCTAATTTCATCTATGAAATGACATCGAATCTTCCCATAGAAGAACAGTCGATGCATTTGCATAATGGTGGTGAAGGGAAATATTGAAAGGACCATGAACTATCAAAAGAACAAGCACATCTGTCTCGGAAGAAGTTCAGCCAGAGTGCTCCTTAGAGACCAGGACGGCGAGACTTCGTCTTCCATACCCTGGACATGCTATTGGGAGACACCAGCCTTGGGAGGTGGACATCAAGCTTGGTAGAGTAGAGGGGCATCAAACCAGAGTAAGGCCCTTGACGATTTGGATTGACACAGTGACTGCAACAATGGGCTCAAACACAACAGGGCTGGGCAGCATTTCATTCTGTCGTACATGTGAATCAGAACCTAGCTGATGGCACCAAATGACAACAACTTTAAAGGAAGACCATGAGATCAGTTTTTGACAAGACAGGTCAAAGGCATATTAAAGAAATGTGCAACAGACAGAATGGAGGAGACAGACTTGGGAGTCAAAAGATGAGAACTGAAACTAAGACAACTAAATAGGAATCTAAGTGAGTTTAGGACCTGCAATACCAAATTACAAGAAAGATTTTTATCAAATATTAACACATTTGCATAGGTGCTAGTGAAAGAGAGAGGCTAACTGCAGGCTCCAGCAGCAGTGTCCATCCATGGAAGATGATAAGGAGGGAAAGTGAGAGTGCACTACAGCTACAAAAACATATTGGCTTAATAATAATTCTGACATTAAAATCTACAAATAGGGTAATACAATTATTGGGTTCCTTTAGATACAGAAATTAGAACCCAAACCCCAATGCTTATTTCTTTTATGAGATTACATCAACTTTCTTCCCAAACCCATAAATATGCAAAAGAGAGTAATTCAAAAAAATTCAATGTTTATTTACATACTACAGATTTCAAAAAGTTTTCGGGGGAAACAGTTTCAATAGGAAGTCAGCAAACACTCAGACACCTGCTTGTCTGTAATATGAGGGGCACAGGAATGATTGGAGCCTTCATGTCGGATTTTCAAATGTCTCAGTCACTTGCCAAGGAAGTGCCAGCCTTGTTCTGTGTTTAAAACGGGGCGCAAAGGTGTTAGGGAAGGGAGGACAGGAAGAGGGATCGAAGAAGGGAAAGGGTAAGATAATTTCATTTAAATCTTTAGGAAGAATTTAAGCAGATAAAAACAAGTCATAAGCTTAGTACTTTACAGTTCTCCCTTTAAAGCTAGTGTCCTAACTTCTTTAATTTGATCCACACCTTATATAAAATGACATTAAACCTTCTAGAGTCTTCCCACTTCATTTCATACGTTTTTCCAAATCATTTTAGTTTCTACTGAGCAAGAGTGATGTTGGTAACATGAAAGTTCTAGAAAAATTGTAGTATAGTCAGACTGCCTATCAGATGCCCCAAATAGGACAGTATTACAGAACAACCAACTGTTAGCATAACAAGTGAGAAAAACAGGATTTTGCTTTCTCACAAAATCCTGTCTATGGATTAGCTCCTTTCTAAGGTGTTAGAACTTGAACTCTTCATAAAATTTCAAGGCATATAATCTTCTGATATTTTCTATGAAAACAAAAGACCAAGCCCCTTGCAGTACTTTGAAGGGAAAGTGTTGTGTGCATATGCTACATCTTGAATTTTCTACCACAGAACATTTTTCCTTATTTCTCCAGACAGCTTTAAATATGGTAATTGAAAATATAGTTGGCAATTTTAATCCAACTAAACATTTTTATTTTAAAATCATCAAGTGATTTGTTACATTATGAGTGACAATAAAATTTCCCAGATTTAGAAAGCTGAAATCTTTGCAGATTTATCAGAACTACTTGGTACCTCTCAGTACTTCATCTAAGAAGTGACTTTGTAATTAAACCATTTCTTAGACTCGACATACTAAAGGTGCTTCAACTCATTTTATGAAATTGGGCAATATGATAGCCTAAGTGGAAATGTTAATGGCTGCTTAAAACAATTTTCACTCTGTTTCTATAGTTTCAAAATCATTCTGTCTTACATATATTTTTGGTTTTCCCCTCTAATGAGCAAATTTTTATACTTAGTTGCTTATAGTGAAAAATATACTATACCTTCTTCACTACTTCCTTTATTTGATGAAGTCGATACCTGAAAGATAAGAACAGAGAAAGAATCTGTTATAATGAATGTTTATACATGGACACTGCATCCAGGAAGTATTTCCCCGCCATGAAACTACAGCACAATGTTTACAGACAATGTTCCACCAACTTGAAAAGTAATTCTGTTTTGCCTTTTGATTAACATCACTCATTCTTTCAGATAAACAAAAGATTTAGAGTTAAAAGTAAAACTTGTGGTAACTTAAGGGAACTAGTGAAGACCTTTAGCTTTTAAGTGAATAAAGAAATAAAAAATGCGAATAAAACTTTTAAACTCCTGAAAAAAGAAATTTAAGCATGCTTGCAAATATTTTCTCTCATTAACCCATGGGAACTACTTCCGGCTTTATTGCTGGGTATGTGAAGAGAGGTTTTCTGCACATACATTTTTTTCATATGTATGTATGTGCAGACACTCATGTTATATAATTCATTTAGTTGTCTTCTAAAATGTTTAAGTTAACTTGTTCCATTTATTACAACAGAAGACAGACCCTAGAATGAATTCATGGCATTTAATTTGTGGTTGCTGTTGTTAAGTGAATGGAGTCAGCTCACACCTTAGGTAGCACAGAACAAAACACTGCCCAGTCCGCATCCTGATGTTGTTTGGGCCATTGCTGCTGCTCCTGGGTTGATCTCTCTCGTGGGGGGGTCTTCCTCCTTTGTGCTGACCCTCTACGTTACCAGGCATCGTGTCCTTTCCCAGGGATTGGTGTCTCCTGACAACATATCCAAAGCATGTGAGATGGAGTCTTGCCAGTCTCGCTTCGAAGGAACATTAGAGCTGTGACTCTTTCAAGACAATGTTGTTTCTTCTTCCGGCAGTTGATACTACTTTCAGTTTTCTGCACTAGCACCATAATTCAAGTGCATCAATTCTTCTCTCGTCTTCCTTTTGTCCAGCTTTCACATGCCCGTTAGGCGGCTGGAAACATCACAGTGAGTACATGGCATTGGTGTCATGCCTGACCTCCTCTGGCTACACAAAGGTGAAGGGCAATCCAACTCCACATCTGCCCAAGGAGGTTTGCTATGAGGCAGAGGTCAGACAGAACTCCCTCCATCCTCAAACTTCCTTTAGCTTATTCTGACCACCCATCCCGTTGAACTCTCCATCTCTGCTGGGTTTGGTCAACCAGTGCAGAGGTCACACAGAACGAAGAGGCACTATTCACAATCACGGGGTTTTTACTAGGCAAGTTGATAGGTTCCCTCAGAAAATACCACAGACAAGAGTTTTTGTTCCCAGCAATGCCTCTTCTCAGCCATGCTAGCAGGCATGACTCTTTCTGGTCCTTTGGTGCTCTTTGGGTCCCCAGCCTCTGAGTCATGAGGCCCTTTGACCTCTTCCCTGCTTGGGCAAGGGTTACACAATCCCTTTAGTAATGATAGCTGCCTAAAGGGGACCCCTCTTCAAGCTAGACTTCTGCCCAAAGACAGTCAGCTTTACTAGTTTTGTGCTTTTGGAAGCCTGCCACTCTCCCTCACAGCTCTGTCTCACCACCACAGCACGGCTCCTCAGAGTCTCTGGGGCCTCCGCTGCCCCCCCCCCACCCCACCTATGGCGGGAATCAATCTTACACATGACCTGCTGGTGTCTCTTCTTTCTCAACTGTCTCAGGATTCTGTGCTCCTGCTTCGGAGATGGTTCACTCTTACACCCAGCAGAATGGTAAAACTGTCCAACCACAGCATTAAGAGTCTCTTACACCTGCTGGTATATTGGGTTATGAGTTGGGCTGCTAACTGTAAGGTCTACAGTTCAAAACCATCAGCCCCAACATAGAATGATGAGGCTTCCTACCCTCATAAAGATCAACAGTCTTTGAAACCCACAGGGAAGTTCTACTCTGTCCTATAAGGTCAGAACTGGAAACCAGTCGATGGCAGTTGAGTGAGTACATCTTATTTGCATGCTCCCACCTAGTCACTGGACGGGAGTTACAGACTACGGACAGGTAGTTTGGGTCAGGCACACATTAGGCCTCCAGGTGACATGCTTGCTCTTTAGCACTATAAATAAGTCTGGTGCAGTGCTTTGCCCCATACAAAATTTTGTTTGATTCCTGATTGCCGCTCCATAGGTGTTGGTTGTAGATCCAAGTAAAGGAAATCTTTGACAACTTGAATTATTTTTCCTTTATTGTGATGTTATCCATTGATCTAGTTGTGATGAGTTTTGATTTCTTAACCTGTGGTTCCTGATCTTCATCTTTCTGAAAGCTGTAGTTTTTTTTAATCTTCAGCAGTAAGTGCTTGCTTTAAGTCCTCTTTGCTGTCAGCAAGCAAGGTTGTGTTATCTGCATATATCCACTGCTCCTGAGTTGATCCCAACTCACGGTGCCCCTGTCTAGGGTTTCCAAGGTTATATATCTTTACAGGAACAGCCAGCCTAATTTTTTTCCCCATGGAGTGGCTGCTGGGTTTGAACTACCAACCTTGAAGTTAGCAGCCAAATGCTTACTTAACAGACCTCCTTGTTATCTGCGTACATATAATAAAACAAAATCACTGCCATTGAGTCCATTCCAATTGATGGGACCATAGCAGACTGTTAATTAGTCTTCCTCCAATCCTAATGTCTCATGGTTCATCATACAGTCCAATTCCCTGAAGTGCTTGCTAGCGTTCAGACTGAATATGATGAAAGGACACAACCTTGACACACCTTTCCCTGATTTTAAAGCTCGTAATATTCCTTGGCTCTGTTTGAATGACCGCCTCTTGGTCCAGGTACAGATTCGGCATTAGCACAATGAAGTGCACTGGAATTCCCATTCTTCTCAATATTATCAATAGTTTGTTATGATGCATACAGTTGAACACCTTTACATAGTCAATAAAACGCAAGTAAACATTTTCTCTGGTAGTCTCTAATTCAGTAGAGATCCATCTGTTATCAGCAATGATGTCCCTCCATTGCATGTCTGCTTCTGAATCCAGTTTGAATTTCCAGCAGCTCTCTGTCCATATATAGCTGCAGAAAGTTTTGAATTATCATCAGCAAAATTTCGCTTCCATGTGATATTAATGATATTGTTAGACGAGTTCTGTATTTGGCTGAGTCACCTTTCTTTGGAATGGGAACAAATATAGCTCTTCTGGTTAGATGACCACTGTTGCATCAATTTGTTGAAACATTTCAATTGGTAGCTATGTTTAAAAGGAAGGTTTTTCTGATAAAATTAAAAATAAAAAAGAATAAGAATACTTCTAAAAGTATTTTTCCTATTATCACTTTATTGAGAGGTCAATTAAAACAGAGAATAGTGAAAGTCTATACATATAGTTTAAAAATAACACTGAGTATCAACATAACCACCATCAAACCCCGCCCCCCCCCAAAGGGAACATGCTAGATTCCTCCGCAATTACAATGCTTTCTCTTCAGTGATAACCACTAGCCTGATCTTATAATAGAGTTTGCAACTTTCAAATTTAATCATCAACTTCTAATTCTCTGCACTATCTTACTTGCAAAGAGGACTCACGTCTACTATTTGTGAGTCCTGGAGGAAAGGTGAAAATGGAAGACCACATACTCTACACCTAACTCTTGTTATGCCTCACACTAGCAAAATGATAGGAGTCCCGGACACAAAGGGTTCAACACCCAGCTACGAATGGAAAGGGTGGCAGGGTCATTCTTCCGAGAGGGACCCTGGAAGAAAGGCGCAGTGGTCTACCTCTAGAAGGTCACAGCCGGTGACAATGCCTCAGAGCACACACAGTTCCATTTTGAAACTCATGGGAGCCTAGTTATTGGAATAAGCTCAGCAGGAAATAGTTTTTGGTATTTGACAAAGTATAAATAGAATATAAAATTTGTTCCATTTTAATAGTTTTGCAATGACCTAGAAGTTCTCAGCAAAACTTCTAGACATCTTGAAACCCGTACCAGAAGGTGACAGAGTGAGGACAAGAGGCAGGCAGTCATTGTCCTGCCTGCCAGGGCCTCATCTGCACACGGGGCAGAAAGCCCAGTCCACACGTGCAGGGTTTACCCACCCTCTACCTTCAAAAAGGACACAACAGACCCCTGCAGCAGTAATTGATAATACACAGTCAAGAGGGCACACGTGGAGAGACAGCCAGGCTGGCCCTGGAAAGGGCCCTGACACTGTCAGACCAAGTAATTTCAGACTTGTTGGCAGGTAGATCATGGTCTAGAAAGAAAGCATATGCTACTGATGCATCCAGGACTGCCGGGTTATGTTTTGTTCCTTTGAGGAGGGATATCACCCGAAGAGGGTCAAACCTGGCCCATTTATAAAGCAGGACACATCCTCTCTGGCTTGGAACTAGTTTGCAGCGAGATGGCCAAATGCACCAAGAAGGTCGGGATCATGGGCCAATACCACTATGGTGCCTCCCGCAGGAAAATGGCGAGGAAAATTGAAATCAGCCAGCATGCCGAGTACACTTGCTCCTTCTGTGGCAAAACCAAAATGAAGAGACGCACTGTGGGCATCTGGCACTGTGGTTCCTGCCTGAGAACAGTAGTTGGTGGGATCCCAAACTACAACACCACCTCTGCTGTCACAGGAACGTCTGCTATCAGAAGACTGAAGGAATTGAAGACCAGTAGAAGTTCTACTACCTGAAATCTCCTGGCCTGTAATAAATAGGTTAATTTATGAAATAAATAAAGAAAAAGCAGGATCCAAGGCAAGGGCTATCCTTGCCTGAGTCTAAAGGTGGTACTGGATAAGAATAACTCAGCAAGTAGAAACATGTAGTTTAGTAATTAAATTAAAATAATAATTACAAACAAACAAATTCATAGCCATCGAGTTATTATTTACTCATAGTGACCTTATAAGACAGGGCAGAACATCCTCTTTGAGTTTCTGAGGCTGCTTATGGGAGTAGAAAGCCCCATCTTTCTCAGAGTGGCTGATGATTTCAAACTACTGACCTAGGGGATCGCAGCCCAATGTGTTACCACTACACCACCAGGGCTCCTTATTATAATAATATCAC